CCTCTACCACCACCTTTACCACCACCACCTCTACCACCTCCACCACCTCTATTATCACCACCTCCACCACCTCTATCACTACCACCACCACCACCACTACCTTTACCACCTCTACTACCTCTACCACCACCTCTATCACTACCACCACCTCTACCACCACCTCTACCACCACCTCTATCACCACCACCTCTATTATTACTACTACCTCTATTATTACCACCTCCTATTAGTAAATGTGGAAATTTAGATTACTAAGGTTAGGAATAATTTAGGAGATAGATTATTAGATTATATCTACTACAATTAGACTTATATATATAGAGCTTTAGCTACCCTTACTAGAAGGTAAATAATTAGTAAACCTTCCTTACTAGAGCTCCTGCTTTTTATTAGGCACTTAGCAGTAAGCTAGTAGTTAATTAGATAGTGGGTTATATAGGGGTATTAACTAGGATTAATTAGGATTAATTAGGATTAAGATACTCTATAATCTAGTTAATATCCCTCCTGCAACACACCTCCTAGGTGTAGGTAGATCTTTTATTATTATAGTTACACTTATAGTTAGTAGGTAGTGTAGCTAATTAGAGTGTTATATATCTAAAGGGTTAAATTAGCTTACCCTTTAGATACTAACTAGCGCGCCTTCCTTATTTAGCCTACGCTTATACGCGTAGATATTATCTAGATAGAGCTCTATAACTCTATCTACCTAACTATAATCTTTTACTATAGCTTAAGTTATAAGATTATATAACCTTAAAAATCTAAACTATACCTATATCCCTACTAACCTATATCTTAGTTAAAGTTAAAACCTACTACTTATACTTACTCTACCTATACTACCCTTATTACCTCCTATATAGCTAAAGCTATAGTTACTAAAGTTACTACTACTAAAGAAAAGTATACTACTACTAAGCGTAAGGCTATTATAGAGTGTATAGTAGCTAAGTATATAGCTACTACTACTATAGCTAAGATTATAAAGCTAAGGAAGGGTGCTCCTACTCTAGCTCCTACTACTCTAGCTCTAACTCTAGCTCCTGCTCCTCCCTAGACCCTGCCCCTATTCCCTACTCCTACTCCTACTCTCTCTCTAGCTCCTAAGGAGACCCTAAGATCCTCCTATTATAGAGAGTCTAGTATTTATTATACTAAAACTTATCTAAATTATCTACGCTTAGCGCTCTTTAATAAGTCTAATAGCAAGTGCTATAACTCTTCTAGTAGGGGGACTTAGTACTAGTAGTACTTTTCTAGGTATAGCTATATCCTAATATATATAATCTATATAAGAATTTTTCCTTTATAATACTTTTAGTAAGATCTTATACTAATAAACTAATAGCCCTAAGCTTACCTAATATTCTACGCTATCCTTCCTAGTAAGGAAGTAGGTAGGTAAGAGCTAAGACCTTCTTAAGGATAAGAAGTAGAGGGTCTTAGTGCTCCTTAAGGAGAGCAAGGCTAAATAGCAGGAGCTAGTAAAAGCTACTACTACTACTGCTAAGCTTGCGCGTAAGGCTGCTACTATAGCTAAGGGCGCCTAGAGCTCCTTATTAGAAGATAAGGACTCTAGCTCCTCTAAGGTTCCCCCTATAGATCCTAGGATAGGGCAACCTAGGTAGCTCCCTATAGACTCTAAGGCACGCTTTACGCGTGTAATAGAGCTCCTTAGGGAAGCTACCTAGTTAATAATAGAGAGGTAGGCTATAGTTAGTTATTCTTATATTATATATTAATAGATCTTATATACTACCTTACTTTAATTAATACTATATAATATATGCTCTGCTATTATATAACTTTAGGTACTCCCTAAACCTTATAAATTATTATATAGTTAGGTTTTTAGTAAGCCTATTAGCTAGTATATTACTAGTAGGTAGGTAGGTAATATAGAAAGATCCCTTTATATACTCTTGCCTAAGCTATATATTTTAAATATCTATATAGCATAGGTTAGTAGTAATCCTTTTATTATTACCTACTACTAACCTAATAGTTTATTAATTATTATAGTTAATTATCTAGGTAGTATCTAAAGTAAGGTGTATTTTAGTTAAAAAGCGTTTTAACGCTATTGCTTCTTTACTTACTTGCTTAAGCGCAAGGAGCTCTGCCTTAGTAGTTAAAGTAGTAATAGTTAATTATTAAGCTGCCTTCTAAATAATAGGTCCTCTAAAGAGCGTGATTAGGTATCTATATAATAATTGCTAAGTATTAATATTATTAGCAAATAATGTATTACAACATATTATAAGCTTATTAGGATCCTCTATTCCTATATTAGATTAATTAGTATTAAGTTTAGTATAGATAGATAATTACTTAATTAACCGCATTAAAGTGTTATTTAGATAGGTTAGTAAGGTATTAGGAGAGCTAGGA